AGAGCTGTGTGGACACAAATCTGATCTTATCAAATCCGACCTGAGCCACTTTCATATGTGGTCCTAGATTGGATACGTGTCCGATTCACGACCTTAATGTGATGCTCAGATCGGAATTCATGTGCTTTTTTTCCACTGCGTGTGCGTCATCGTTCAGCGTTACCATGGCAGCAGCGCCAATGGAAAAGCAGCTCATCTCACCTTTTTCACCTTCGTCTCGCTCTAATAATGAAGCTGAGAGCTGATCAGAGTTAATTATCTTCTCAGCGAAGCTCGTTCTGCTCGTTAGTTTGTGCTGATGATGCACGTGATTCATTCATTTCAGGACGCTGGTTTGTTTACATTAATGACAGATTTGAATCACTCACCTCAACCAGTGTGGACCATCCTGTCAGAGAGATCGGATTTGAGCAAAAAAAATCAGATTTGAGCGATGTGGCTTGTAATGTGAACGTAGCTTAACTGACCCATCCCAAACAGCATCCATCATATTTCAGTCTGTTCAAAATGAAGATCCTCTTCGCAGTTCTTCTCAGAAAACTACAGAACTGTTTCATGCTCTTCAATAAACTTTATTGTCTTTAAAAAAAACAGTCAATTTGACGTTCGCTATCAACGTTTTTCAGTGGCCTGAATAAACGATCTCCAAGTCCACTCTTGCCCTGAAATCTTATCATGAAACAGTCCAAAGGCACCTCTCTGGGTCAAACCGCTGCGTGATAGTTTTTGATTCATTCCAACAAAGTGAACCCTGTACAGGCAAGCTTTCTTTAGGACTTCATTAGACAGATCTTTCACGATTTCGATATTAAAACACAGGAAGTTACGTTAAAAATGTTCTTAACATACACCATTTAACTCTTCATAAACCATTAATAACATGATTTGTGTTTAAAAGCCCTTGGGTTTCCATGTCTTTCTCTTTCTACCGCAGGACACGACAGCTAGTGAGATACTGAGGTGCAAAGTACACGTCGACACTCAAAGTAAAGGTACACTCTGTGATTTCAGAACAAAGAGGCAATCCTGCCAACAACTGATGGAAGAAATGTACTTCTCAGAGCTGTAGATGCAAAGTGAATTACCCAAAGAAACACGTCAGGTATGCTTTGATTGCTTTGTAAACAATGGGATATAAAACCAACATTGGCTCATGATGGGGTGAAATATTTCTCTGAGTTATCTACGATGATTTATCCTCAAGAAGAAATGCTTATGTACAACAAAGCGGATGTAAACAAAACCACTATAAATCACAGAGTGCGGTTTTATCACTGTTTTTCCGTGTTAACAGTGTAAATGTTTCATCACTCAATACACTCTCTGAGTAGTTAAAGGGGAATTTTCAAAAATTCTAAATAATTAAAATAAGATGTAAGCAGAGTCATTCAGGGTGGTTTGATGGGAAATTGTGAACAACTCAGAATTGTTCACAGTGATGGTGATAGGAACCAGACATCTGAAGAGTATAATGCCTTGAAAAACTCTTTCACAGAAAGCTACCCTGATGCCTGAGATATTGCTTTAAGATTTTAATGATAGTTATTTATACAGGGTGATTCAAAAAGATTCCTTTGATTTCAAAATGATTTATTTCACTTGTAAATCATTACAGATCAATGCAGTGAACTGTAAATGGTTTAAATGAGCATAAAGTTTATGTAATTTATTAAATGCTCAGTATGAACCTCCTCCAGCTGTACAGACAACATCAACGCCATAGTCAAATTCATCCCATACTTGATTGAGCATGTCGGGTGTCGCTGCACTCACAGCTCTTTCAGTGCGATTTCGGAGATCCTTCAGTGTTGTAGAGCCAACGACGAACACTCTGAGCTGTTGGAGCTTCACTGCCGCCGAAAATCACGTTGCACAGTTATGACGGATTCACTCTGATTGAAGTGGAGAACGCAGAACGCTTTCTGTTCAGGGGTCTCATCTCCTCGCAGACTGAAGGGAGCCATCTTCCAGTGGCAGTCAGAAACTCTATGACCCCCTCTTTCAATTGGTATGTGATTGGTTCCTATAGGCGCCTCATGGTTGTAAAAATATGGCGCTTTGAAATCAGATGAATCTTTTTGAATCACCCTGTACCCATATATATATATATATATATATATATATATATATGTGCATGTCCACTAAATATATAACCCAAGTTTATAATCCAAGTAATCCTGGTTACAAATTCAAACTCTTCAGAAAAAACGTATGTAAACTTGCTTCATGTCCAGTTTTGGTGTTCTACTGCAATATATCTTCCTTTTTTCAGTAACAGCTTCTTGATGGCTACCTGATCAGGAGCTTGATTTTGTCCTCTCTCCCAAATACAAAAGTGTGCTGTTTATCTGATTAGGATAGTTTTGGTGTCTACCAGGTCTTCCAGGTGGTTGCTAGGAGTCCCATTTTTTCTCTACCTTTTTTAATCTTCGAACTCACTTATTTTCTTTGACTTTCTGCTTCTTGTATAGAAGTGGATTATCGTGTGTCTACAATCTTCAAAAATATCTTTTTCAGCCACTTTAGGTGCACATGAGAAGGAAATCTGAAGGCAGCTAAGGTTGAGTGAGTTACAGATGTTTGTGTGAATGTTAGTGTCTCTTTAAGGGGAACATAATGTCAGTGATGTGTTTGGAAAGGCTTTTGTTGAAGGAAACAACTGTAGCTGGTTGGTTTTAAGATTGGTAGGTTGGAAAAGTTAACGTGAAAGTAGGTGCACAAATATAAATATTTGATATTACACTTAGTGTTGGAGTGTAATTTCCAGTAAAATATACATTTCCTGTTGTTTTTTTCTAACACTGCAAAATGAATAACTCGTATTTAACATCTATTTTGACTTGAAATTAAATAAACTGAAGCATGGTTTCTGATTTTTGCATGAAATTATACATTATAAGGCAAAATGGAACCCAAAGAAAACTTTTTTTTTATGTTTTACCATCATCAACATTACATAAAAAACTGTGTAGGGTCACTGGTCACTCTGAGAAGTGAATACAATGGCTTTATCTGTGTTGTAGACTTAGGCTACATTTACACAGCAGGTAAAAGTGGCCCAAATCTGATTTTTTTCTTCATATGTGACACAGATATGTATCTGTGTGTCAGTGTGAACAGCAAAAAACACACTGAATCTGACATTTGCAATTCCGATTTGAGACGCTTTCATATGTGGTATTGAAATCTGATACGTATCTGCGGCAGTGCGACTCAGTCTGAACAGCCAGATCAGAATTCATGTGACTTTTATGTCAGTCCAACTCGACATACGTCATAATTTCGTGCTGCTGAGACTCATAAACATTTGGGGTGATATTTTTGTACAAAAATTAGAAGAGACTCATCCAAAACCCTCCATGTTCAAAGAGATTTTGAAAGAAATAGCCGAATGCGGCTGTAGGAGAACGAGGCTGCGGCGTCAAAGAACAGTTAAAAGTCTGAAAGCAAAGTTAAAAGAATCGCAGGACGTGAACCAAAGAAGTGACCGTGGCAGAATAACGTGTCCTTTTTACAGCGAGCTCCAACACATTCTGGGTGATGAGCCCAGCTGTCAGTCAGTGAAGCTTCAAGTTGGCTCCTGTGTTGCTGGAGAAGATGAAACTGAAAGCTCTGGGAGCGACTGCCGTTCGTTGGAAGCCATTGTTTACCTCTGGACGAGCCACGCGAAGCAACGTGAAGCACTGCTCTTTTGCGCATGCGGATCAATTTACGAGCTGATCTGTTCAGACTGAAGTCGCATACAGATCACATTTAAAAGATAATGTGAACAGCCAAACAAAAAAATCGGATTTGGTGAGAAAATCAGGTTTGGGCCACTTTTACCTGGTGTGTGATCGTAGCCATAGTGACCACTGGTTCCCATCACCACCACTGTAAAGAAATCTTAATGACTGAATGACTGTTTGACTAAACTATGCAGAAATACAGAACGACTAACGGAATTCCCCTTTAACTGTTGCTGCATGAGTAACAATCAGGACTGTAAGGAGAACGGCGCTCTCTCATCATGAACACAATGAAATAACAGTGTAAGAACATAACAGCAACTGGTATGGCTTTGGAGCGTGCCCAAGTGAACGTACATTTTGAGAGATATCAGACCCCGCCTTCATTTCTCGACTGGCAGAGCTGTTCGTCAAAGCAGTAACTGAATAAGCATTTAAGCCTGCATTCACATGCTTTATCACTGCAGTGAGAAATCTCAGGTGCCATGAAAAAATCTGAAAAATCCTGTAGCAGAAGTGCTCGTTTGTTTACTCTAAATATATTTCGTAGAAACTGCCAGAGAAAACGAACAAAAGTCTTTGAGTATGCTTCTTCTCGATCCATGTGCAAAACACTGACCTTTTATAAAAAAATACAATAGGCCGATCCCTGCGTTCAATAAATATATTACTTCATATAGTCTGCAATAACCATCGTATTTCACTCACCCATACAGTCCTTATAATTCTGCCATGCACCGCGTTTAAGATTCGAGCTTTTGACAACAATATGTCAGCATCAGCATCGCCCCTTCTATTAATACACCAGAAAAAACAAAAAACATTGAACCTACTTCCACATTGAAACACGTAGTTCAGGTTTTAACACCTTAAACTAAGCTAGCATTCTCCTTAGATCCAGGATAGGGTTCTAGAACAACCATGTCATAATATAGGGTTCTAATGGTAACTAAAATATATGAATTATTTAAGGGTTGCTATTTAGTATCACAATAGTTTGATGATAACAGGTACATCACTCCTGCTATTTTAGACCTGCACCGTGAGGGGCAAGATTATGGCGCGAGTTTATAAGGTTCAAGAGGTTCAAACATACATAAAACTTCAGTTGTTTAGATCAACAACACTCCCGTATTCCTAATCAATATGATTAGGAAGGATTTCAGTTCTGTTCATTGCATAACTCGTGACCTCACTGTTTTTTTTTTTTTGTTCCCCCTCGGAATTCCTACCTGATGGGTGCATCGTCAAAAGCCTTACGGTTTTGGTTGCCTAGGCAACAGAATCTGGGTTTGCTGAATCCCTAGAGCTGAGCATTCTGACCAGCCCCCTCTTCCTGAAAGAGCTACGAGCCACACCGCTCCCGACAGGGCCCACGCTCTCGGACTGGGCCTCGAGAGGGAAGGAGTGTGAGGACTGGTCGCTGTCCGATAGCAGCTCCGACAGACTGCTCAGGGAGCTCACGTCCGATTGGTCGAAAGAAAACTGGGGGAGGGGCAGGCGGCCTGACGAACGAGGTTCCGAATGAGGTTCTAGTGGTGGGAGGGGCTTTGTGACTGGTGGACTATCAGGAAGATCCAAAGACTCCTGCGTGAGGGCCGACTCAAACGACGGCGCCCGCCTCCTCAGGACTGTGCTGCTCTCCTTATTGGAGGTTGGAGGAGAGGGAATCTCCGAGTCAGTGGGCGGGTCTATAGAAATGCAAGGCGGACTCATTTTCTCCTTTCGGGGCGCCGGAGATGCCGATCTGCCGCGCATTTGACAGGACGGCCTACTTTGCTCAGCCGCTGGCTGCTGCTGAAACTCCTCGCCGTGCGTCGAGTGCCGGCGAGGGCAGCTGGGCTGGGTGAGGAGGCCGTGCGCGTCCACGCTGTAGTATTTCCTCAGGTTACCGCCTCTAGAGCCCTGCTGGTGCGCTCCCCTGTCACTCTGCTGTGAGTTCTGTGATTGGCTAGGGGCTGCGACATAAGGGGATAAGGTGTGGCTACGTTTGATCCGCTGGGGGGAGTCTTTCCTGTGCACGGAGGATATGATTCGCCGCACCTCTTCGTCAGCCTCGTCAGTGTTGGATAGCGCATGCATGTCTATAGTTAGCGTTTGTGTTGGTTGGCTGTGCGCAGGCTTGCGGCTGGGAATGCTGCGCTGGCTGTACACTTGTCTGCTCGTTTGTACGCTGGCTGTCCGGCTGCGAGGGAGGAGAGGGGGCGTGGCCTGAGGAGTGCAGGGGGCGGAGCCTCCCGTCAGGGGAATGCTGGGCACTTTGAGATGCAGAAGGTCGTCGGAGCAGTGCAAAAGTAGGTTGTCTCTGGAGCCGGGGTGGGCCGAATCAACAGAATCGCTCTTTATTGCCTCCTGTAGTACAGAACACGGTTGCCATCAGGATCACATAATTACCAAATCACATCGGCCATAAAGCCATACAACTTCAGCGTACCTGTCTTTGAAGCATCCTGAGGGAGTTGTGTCTACTGGTGCGATGCTGGGGTAGTGACTCTAAGTGAGAGATAGAGGCTGTTTGTGGTTTTGCCCTTGGATCCTGTAGTAGGGATCCCCGTTCACACGGCTGAGAGCTCACCGAGAGAGAAGAGCCTAGAAAAACGAATAATAATGACTCAAACTTAAAAGTGTCTCTGTGTTTTTCTTAACATGAACGTTTCTACGGAGGTATCATACAGACAACTCATTACTGGTCTTGGAGGGCCGGCGTTCAGCGTATTGGACCTTATTCATCAAAGTTGTGTAAAAACTGTAAAGACTGTCGATTTTACAACATAGAAACAAACAGAGATTTGAGTGCAAATGATGGATCAGCCTCAGTGCGTGAAATCAAGTGCTGCCTACCTGCACTCCATTTACATGTACAAGACACATGCCCAAATTCAGTCAGATGGAGGGAGCCAATAAAACAACAGCATTCAGTGGCTCAAGAGACAATGGTATAGTTGCAGGCGGAATTTGAGATTAAGCAGCGAGTCCACTGCTCCCCCTACTGACTAAACTTTATAGTGTTAAAACTCCAACTGGAAAAAAGAAAATGTTAAAAAAAACATAACGTCTTATTTTTTTAAGACAGTTTAATCATGTGACTGTGAACTGTGATTATTTTCCCAAAATAGCATATTTAAATGCTATATTATTGCAGCGTATGAGATGCTTCTGCACTAGCTGTGTTTTGTATTGTTTGTTTTGTGGGCGGAGTCAGTAGTATAAAACAAAAGCATAGTGTAATATCTCTTTAAATGGAGTTGGAATAGTTGCAGCATTTGTTTACACCAATGTGCATGGAAAGTAAGTACATAAGTACAAGCTTGGATACTGGATAGTCATGTGCACAAATTATTATTGTTCTTTTCTATTTTTACTCTTATTACTGGTATTATAGATGATATTGATAATAGTTTTGGTTGGTTAACTGCAAATCAAGCATTTTTAAAAGTCGTTAAACTACTATGGTCAAATTTACACACACTCCTGAGTCTGGTGAGATACAGCAAAGACGATGAGTAACAAAACTGTCGGTAAAGTTCACATGCGGTTGTTTTACGATCTGATCTGATTGTACGCAACTTTGATGTATAAGGGCCAATGTGATTTCCCTGTTCAAATACACAGGAGTCATTCTATTAAAAGAGAGTCATTTGAATCCACAATATGTTAGAATTTTTTCTAGCTAAACCTTGAAATCCCAGGCTTATTACATACTAGGGCTTCTCATTCAATAACTACAGGGGCTCCAATGCAAACTGGATGATCTATTAGGTTATAGTAGTTATAGTACAAACTTTGGGCCTGCCGATGGGACCTGGCCATTTAAGAGGTTAAATATGTTTGTTCGGAGCTCATTAGCAGAGTGTGAACATTGTTTTGCAAGTGGTTTTCTATAGTTTTTTTTAAATTACAGGCTGTATAGGCAGCCACTGGAGCTCTACCTCGAATAAAAACCCACTAAATAAAACTAAATAAAAACCTATGTTAACATTGTAATGTGTATCTGTTGCCACATTAACATTAATTTGTTCACACACAAAAATATTATATACTCAAAAATCAAAAACTGTGAGCAACATGTTGTTGAAATGTTGGAGGAAAAAAAATTGTGACGTGTTGACATGAAAAATGTCTGGTAGAATGTCTTACTCTGTAAACCCCCAGCAATTAACAGATGCCTCGAATGATGAATGTCTGAGCAGGGAAATCACCAGTCCTGAAATTGAAACCCTTGGTGGACACCATGGGAACAATGCTAGGCCTCATTCAATCACTGCATGATTAATTATCATGTCACCTGCTAGAGTACTCCGGTCAATGGACTGCTGTTTGGAGATGGGTTGATCAGCGGCCCTGTGTCCAGGCTTAATGGGGTAGAACATGTAGCTGTCATTGGGCAAAGACAGCATCCTTGATATGGAAGTCTTCCCAACCGAGAGCAGGTTGCCATTGTGAGGGTCATCTCGCTGGAAATGTAATGATTATGCATTAGACATTAAAGGTTTCCTCAGCCTACATTACACAATAGAAGGAGATGAGTCTTGAGTATGGTAAAGATGGTCAGTAGGACCTTTTGGTGATTGTTGTCTATTCCCTGATTTAAAATGAAGCTTCTGGTTCTCTGCATCCACAAATCCATAAAACAAACAGGGGTTGAATATATGCAGACACGAATTGCAACTGCAAATTTAAGCACGTTGAAGGCCATTACTGGTGTAAACTTGCCTGACTGCATCCTACGGTGGTGCTGCAGAGCAAGAAAGGCTAAGAAAACTGACTTCTGGTGATGTACCTTGAAGGCAGGAGGAACTTTGGACAAATTACAACTGCTTTGGGTGGATTTCTGAGTGAAGGCCATTTTGAAATCCTTTTGTTTCGCTGGCTGGATAAAGCAGAAGGAAGGCACTAGCTAAATTTGATGCTAGGAGACCAAATATCGTATTGCAGCTGTGTAACTGTAGCAAAGCCTTCAAATCATCTTTCCAATGGAGAGAATGGATTACTCAAAAAAGAGAAATGTCTTGTCAGATGAGAAGGGTAACAAGCTAAAAGCTAAAGTTAGCAAGTAGCCCCTGGATATGTAAATACCTTTCATCAGTTTGGCTTCTTTACTCTGGCTGAAAAGGTATAAACTTGCTTCTTCTTTCCAATGAATAAAGACACAGCTGTTGGGTTTGATGCAACTGAGCTAGGAGTTACACTAATGCTAGCTTGGTTGTATTTATCAGCCTATAGATGAGTGTCTAGTCCAGGGGTCGGCGACATGCGGCTCTTTTACTGCCCTGTTGCGGCTCCACAGCAGAAATACAGTTTTTTTTAGGTAAAATAAAATCCTTTAAATAGTAAAATAAAGCTCTGCTGAACACAATTTAACAATAAATGGTTTTAAACGCTGGAGTTAATGTAGAACTGCTAATTCACCCTTTAATCCTGAAGGTGGGTGCCCAGACCGCTGGTCACCATAGCAACACAGACAACAATCTCACCTAGTTAGTAGCTAAAGAAATGTCACAGAGAAAGATTTAAGACGAACATCGATACTTTGGAGACGAATGGACTTATTTGCATTTATAATCAGTCTAGCTGGTTTCCTGATATGTTTAATCTGCAGTGAGAAAATGTCAACTCATAAAAAGTCACGAAGCTGAAGTCGCTTCTCGTTCTCCAGCTTCTTGTTCAAATTTTTCTGTTCCACCTTAAACGGTGCAGCACTTACATTCTGGCACCTCAGGCACCATTTAAGGTGGAATGGGAAAATTCTAATAAGAAGCTGGCGAATGAGAAGTGACTTCAGCCTCGTAAAAGTTCGAACGTTGAGAGACATTTTGTGGAAAAGTTTCCTGCCGGAGATGCGAGAAAAGCAACTATAGCTGAGCTAAAGCTTAAAGCAGAGCAAAGTAAGTCTGCGTTTTCGATTATATTATATTTTTAGCCTATACTAGCGCATTAGCACATACTGAGACATATTTACAGGCAAGATGTTAAAACGGACATAAACTGTTGTGGCTCCCAAGGTGGTTTGATTTTTATTGCACGGATAAAATGGCTCTTCTTAACATTTGGGTTGTCGACCCCTGGCCTAGGCTAGCAGTGAGGATTGGTTAACACCACAGGGATTCCCAATGGCAGTATGATATAGCGGTATATCTGAGTAATGTAATCCACGCTGGGTATTGCAGTGAGAGAACCCTGATAGAAAAAGTATGTCAAATGACTTTTTTTCGACTGAATGGAAACGTGTGGCATCATTAAATTACTACCTGTTCAGGTGCAGGACACTGTGAACCTACGGCCACAGCTTTACTCTCTGGCCCAGAAACTCCGCCCACAGAGGCAGTGCTCTGCCGCCGACCTGCCTGCAGCTCCTCCAGCAGTTCCGCCTCCATCTCTGCCTCTGCCTCCGCCTCTTTGTTGCTTTCTTCTAGATGCTTCATGAGCACAGCCACCACCACGTTCACCAGCACGAACTGAGCCACCAGGACGAACGTCACAAAGTACAGCGGGGACACCAGCGGCAGGTAACTCAAGCAGCGGTCTCCGCTCTTACACTCCCGCAGAGTGTCCTAGAACACACATGACCACGTTGCATAACGAATTCATTAATCTCACAGCTGCAGCGTGTCCCTAATTATACTGCGGATCTCACCGGTGTCAGAGGAAAGCTCCGCTTTTCAGGAAACTGTCTCGCTCATTAACAGCTAACTGGAATACTAAACAGATACACAAATGCCACAGGCTTTCCTCGCTGCGTGGAGGATCAGAGTTCCCTAAAGCTGTTAGCCAGATAACTCTCAGAAGTCCTGTTTATCGCTGGTGATTAGAGAAGCATGGAATCTGATATTATTACTCACTTGTAGGTCACTGATGTAATACTATATTTATATTTTAGATTTTACTTAAATAGTTTGAGTTAAACAGCGTTTTACTGACTCTCAGCTGTCACTCTTCTTAAACTCATTAATATTGTAGCACTGGGGGTGGAGCTTCCCAGAATGTTTACCTTTTTTCTCTTGTTTTTCATCAGTTCTCTTCAAACAAAATTGTTTTGTGTTTATAGCATGATATTGCAATGCTAAAGGCTCAGTTTAAATACCATTTATGTTTTTGTTTCATTTTCAAGGTATTTTCCACTAGATCCACTAGTTTAGTCTGTACTGCTATTAAATACAGTCATATGAAAAAGTTTGAGCACCGTCGCTAAAATTATATCTTTTGTTGATTTTTTTTTGTTGAAGTCAAAAATACGTTTACACATCCTCTACAGGAAACCAAGCCTAAGTTTTGTCATTTTCTGCAAATTTTAGTTCACAATTTTTTTTTTTTATGTAAAATGCACAAATAACATTTTATTTTTCCCCAATTTGTTGAATTCAGCAAATAAACCGTAATTGTACATTAAAATGTGCAGAAGTGTTTCCTCTGTGGAGGACGTTTTCACTTATTTTCACTTAGAAAATCAACAAAACATGTCATGTGACCAAGGGCACCTAAACTTTTGCATATGACTGTAGTTAATTAAGGGGAGACACTTATTCTTGGGGGATTGCAAGTTTGAAGTTTGAATGTCGGCAACTGTGCAACCGAAAAAGTTGTAATTTTTGTTTTCACAATATTTTCACTGATACCAATAAAACCAAGAGTTGTCAGTATCAGCCGATATTACCAGCCAACCGTTATATTGGTCTGGCCCTGGATTCAGTTCTTTAAATTGAGACCACATTTGTTTTTGTAAGTAGAAATGTTTTTATGATTTGAAGTCTCAGAAAGAAACAACATCCTTTACATATTTTGTCACTGCATGGCACTGAAGAAGTTCACACTTGAATGTGTTGATACCGGAATTCAAATCTAATTAACTGCATATCTTACTATTTAACTGTTGGAACAAAATCTTGTATCTCCAAAAATATAACTTTACAGGAGAAGGATAACACTGTTAACTTCTAATGGAAGATAATGGAGAAATTCTGCCAATACATCCTGAATTTTTGACTCAATTAAAAAAAAATGACAAAAATGGAGATGCAAGGTTTTGTTCCGACAGTGACGACATGTAATTGCATAATTATATTTGAAAAGTGTAGCAAAAAGAAAGTAGCTACTACCTTCATGATTCCGTTCCAGTTGTCTCCGGTAGAGACTCGGAACAAGGTGAGGAACGCCATGCCGAAGTTCTCAAACGTAGCGTGTCTGCTCAAACCTTCGCACGGATTCTCCTCTGAGCATTCTGGGAAAAATAAGAATGACAGTAATTACTTCATTAAGTGCATTCTGCATGACCTCAGGGAGAGACATCAGGTAAGGCGGAGCAACTGACCGAGTTTTCCAAAGAGCTCCACTCCCAGAGCGGCATAAATGAAGAAGAGCAGCATGAAGAGGAGACCCAGATTCCCAACCTGAAAAAAAAACAGAAGTAATTCTGGGTATATATGCCTACTATAGCAACAAAGAACCAGTAACTGCATTCCGACTTCACACAGGCACCAACCTGGGGTAAAGCCTGGACTACCGTGTCCAACAATGCTCTCATTCCTGTGGCCATCTTCAGCAGCTTCAACACTGAAAAAAAAAGGGAAAATTGTTTTCGCAACTCTTTTATTCACTTTTCTTCTCGTCCCCATTTCCAGTCCTTGAATTATTTAGCTACGTCTTGTTTCAGCAGTGTGTGCGATTGTGTTTTCTCGCCACCCTGTACCTCTGGCAATGCGAAGTACTCTCATGATGCGAATGATGGTTGGGTTAATGGGTAATGAGGCATTCAGGTCAATCTCCTCAAGGGTAATGCCCATAACAGACAGCAGAACAATGGCCAAGTCCAGCTGATTCCACCTGAGAGACAAACAGAAATAGAAAGGGAGAGAAAGACAACAGTACACAGGCTTACAAACTACAGCACGAACATGTTCTGTGGTGATGTCCGACCTTAGATTCATATCTGCATTGTTGCATTGTTGTTTTTTCCTTTATATATGATTGTCTGAGCCTGGAACGGTTCTACCAATAAAGCACTTTCATGCTGAATGTGAAGACAGTTCCATGCTTTTCCACATAATTTCTCATCCACGGGAAGCGCCTCACCTCTCTTTGAAAAACCTCCTGAAGCCGAAGGCGACCAGTTTCAGGATGGCCTCAATCACAAAGACCAGCGTGAAGCCGTAGTTGAAGTATTTCAGGGCTTCTTCTAGACGCTACAAACAGATGAAGACACGTTACAGTCTGATATGTTTTCTGTCATACTCAAATATCGGCTGTCATTTTTTTATCAAGATCTTGGCATCTTGACATTTATTTCCCTTTATGTTGAGTCTCACGAAGGCCGGTCTTGTACTATTAGCAGGGTTGAGTAGTAACAGAATACAGGTAATCAGGATATGGTGAAATCAGTGACAGAGTAAAGGCACTAATCAGATACAGGTACATCATCAAAAACAGATGCTTACCTGGAGGATTACACTATGACTCAGACACCAACTGTGATTTTTCAGAAAGCAAAAAATGACATTATTTTCTCCATTCTCTGATATTTTCTGCAAACTTTTGCAGACCATGTGAATGCTCTGCACCATTGTTTATTGTCTCTGAGGTTGGCATTGCAACATCTGGTTGGCTAGGTCCCAGCAAATATATTCACATTTACATTTACAGCATTTGGCAGACGCTCTTATCCAGAGCGACTCACAGTTTGATCACTTCACACAGGTGGGCGAAGGTAGTGTTAGGAGTTTTGCCCAAGGACTCTTATTGGTATAGTGTAGGGCGCTTACCCAGGCAGGGATTGAACCCCAGTCTATGGTGTGGAAGGCAGAGATGTTAACACTACACTACACCAACCAAATACATTTTGTAACCACTTAAAATCCCAGGCTTATCATTCAGTAACTACAGGGACTCCAATGCAATCTGGTTCAGCTATTCTCCTAGAAGTGTGTAATAAGGGTTAATGAACATCATAAAGCTTAGTTCCTCTGTTTCGTCATGTGTGATCCTGCATCTCCACCAATTTTCATGGGTCAGTTGCAACAGGAAGTAGCCTAGTTTTAACATGGTTACTAAGTCCAGGTTTATGTATTACTAAATCAAAATGGGTTTCACCACAAACTAGTTTTAATGTTAAGATTAGTAGTTACTGAATATTTACACCCCCCATGCAGGTATTAATTTTTGAGGAAACCAAGGAAACCATATAGAAAGCACAGAAAAGACCGAAAACGTGTCTTTTTGTGTTAACTAGGCTAAAAATAACAAATGGCATATGATTTTACTTACAGCTCTAATTATCGCCCTGGTTTTAACTCCGAACACCCACAGCTCCAGCTTAGTGATACGCTGCCGAAAAGTTTATACTAGGCTGCTGTTGTGTCAATCATAAATTACATAATGCTTGATATCTAAAATTGAATTTTTACTAGTAAAAACGTAATTTTTAATATCAAAAAGTCAATTTTGTACTAGTAAGAATTCAATTCCTGATATCAAAAATTACATTTTCACTAGTAAAAATTCAATTTTAGATATCAAGAATTACATTTGTACTAGAAAAAATTGAATTCTTAATATCAAGAATTAAATTTCTACATGTGAAAATTCAGTTTTTACTAGTAAGAATTAAACTTTCACATGTGTAAACTGAATTCCTGATATTAAGAAAAAAAGGACTAAAAACTTAAACGGCTTGCCATAGAGTTTATATATTGGCTCAGAACATGTTATAGTCGTGTTAATTCATTAGTTAGATGTTAATCATTAACACATGACAAAGGTAGTGTTAGGAGTCTTGCCCAAGGACTCTTATTGATATAGTGTAGGTTTGCCCAGGCAGGGGATTGAACCCTGTCCACAGCGTAGAATGCAGAGGTGTTACCCCACTACACCACACCAACCGTTTTTTAAGTGAGTGAAAATATTGTAACATGTCTCTGACAGATGTTTGTTGTTGCCCAGGGGTCCTTGTTTGATTGTTTAAACAATTAATAGCCCTGAATGTCCACTTTTGGTTTGAGCTCTGGGCTTCGCCTGTGAAGACAGCAGTTGTTGTTAAAAAAGGATAAACCAACATGAAGACTAGAGAGTGGTCTGTGGGACAAAAGCAAGCTGTTCTGAAGGTGAGAATACGAAGGTAAATCAGAGCCATTGCACAAGTATTGGGGATAGACAATACATCAATTTGGAATGTCCTGAAAATGAAAGACATTACTGGTGTCCAGACAAAAACACAGGTCAAAAACACAGGAAAACAACAGCAGTTGATGACAGCAACTTTGTGAGAGCTGTTAAAGAAACCCAAAAACGACAGTTAGTGACATCGCCAACAACCTCCACAGGGCAGGGGTGAAGGTGTCACAATCCACCATTTGAGGAAGACTTTAAGAGCAGAAATATAGAAGTTATACTACTTCACGCAAACCACTCTACAGCAATAAGAATTGGACAGCCAGATTAGTATTTACAAAGATATACAGAGGCACAAACGAGCTTTAAGGACTGATGAGACCAAGATTAACTTTGACCAAAGTGATGAAACGACCAAAGTGTAGAAAAAGAAAGGATCTGCTCTTAATCCAAAACATATGGGCCCATCTTTCAAGCATGGTGGAGGTAGTGTCACGGCTTGGGCTTGCATATGGAAGGGGCTCACAAATCTTTATTGATGATGTAAGTCATGATGGTGGCAGCAGAATGAATTCAAAAGCTTTCAAAACATTCTGTCTGCCAATTTAAAGAGAAATGCATCCAAAACACCCTGCCAAACACAACCGAGGACTTCATCAGGGGCAAAAAAGTGGAAGGTTTTAGACTGGCCAAGTCAAACACCAGACCTTAACTCAATTGAGCATGCATTTCACCTTCTGAAGAAGGGACTGAATGGAGAATGCCCCAAAACAAAACAACAACTGAAAGAATTAGTGAGCTCTGAGAATTAAGGAGCTCAGAAAAGCATCACAAAAAAAGACTGCAGCAGTTTGGTGATGTCAGTGGGTCTCTGGCTTTTTCCGCAGTTAGGGAAAGCAAGGGATAGGGAAACAAATATTAATATAACACTACCTGCTCCTATACTTTTGCTCAGCTAATACAGTACTTAAACCCTGCTGCATAACAATGACATAACCATGCTATAAACATGCGTATTCTAGTTCACCGCCAAACATTATGATGTCATGACAATAAAAAGTGGCGGTAGCGTGGGTTCCCAAGGAGTGCAACCATCTAAGCAATGGTCCTATCATCAGGAGTTCGGTGGGTAGGATGGCCCCGCCTCTCTCCCATCACTCAACACAATGCTAGTCAGCGCAGGCGTCTATTAGCTGATGTAGCAGAACTGGCGGTTGGTGCTTTCCTCCAAGTTCAATGACGTGTTATTAGCAGCTCGAAAAGATGCGGCGGAGCTTCACAGGTCTAGGAGGAAGCCTGTGCTGGTGGTATCGTGTGATTGGGGGAGTCCTAACTAGTGGGTGGAATTGGATTCAACTAAATTTGGGAGAAAATTTTAAAAAATCTAAAAACATTAAACTGTTTTTTTTTGGGGGGGGATTTTTCCGCCAATTTTCTCACCAATTTAGTTGTCTCCGATTCCACCCACTAGTCGGGACTCCCCCAATCACACGATACCACCAGAGCTAGGAGGGCGAAGGCTAACACAGGCTTCCTCTGAGACCTGTGAAGCGCCACCGCATCTTTTTGAACTGCCGCTCACGCAACATCATCATTGGACAGCCGAATGCATTCAGAGGAAACCGCGTTTTTATGTGCATGTGTTTATGTAACACTGCTAACCTTCTGCTGCACATTGTTACTGCACAGACATTACGCAACCTCTGTTGTGTGCGTGTACTGCGGCCAACCTTGGGCTGGTTGTAGTGCTCCATGGACATGGTGAGGACGTTGATGCCGATGATAACGGTGATGAAGAGGTCCAGGTAGTGGTTGGTGCAGAGAGTGTGGATGTAGAGACGAGCGGGAGAGTAGTCAGCATAATATGGTCTCTGAAGGGCCTCTGAAACATAAACACAAAGAGCATCCTCATTAGACGAGACGGTCATTAAGGTACACGAGCTTCAAAAAGTCTGGCAGCGGTGCTCCGTCAGTATCCAGGGGCTGCGGTGTCCTTCCCGTGTGTGTGCGCGAGCGCGGATGAAAGGAAGTGCAGGAGAAATATGCGTGTGTGAGTGTGTTTACAGCCTTGCCGAGCGTTTTCTTTTTAACTCTGTGACAGGCCAGTGCCGACCGCCCCGCTTTTTAAACGCCTGATGTTCATAAATATTCTTATTGGGCGTCCTTGGTTCACTTTAAGGGCGTTGTGGAGAAGAAGACGGGGGGATAAAGTCTGAGCAAATGTGCGACTGGGCATGTGGGAGAGAGCACTTTGTGGTCGTTTTCAGCTTACTGACCCAGTTTTTGTTTGACTGGTAAAAAATGCAAGCCTGGCAGAGAGAGAGTGTGTGTTTGTGTGTGTGTGTGTTTGTGTGTGTGTGTGTGTGTGTGTGTGTGTGTGTGTAGTCACAGTTGTGAAATGGGCGAGTCATCTGTGAGATCATAAAACTGTCCAGCTGAGTGTCCCCCTCCATCCATCACCACTCTGACCGCTCAAGGTGTCTTTGAGAGGAAAAATGAGTTTGTGTGAGAGAGAGAGAGGGGGATAGAAAGAGAGAGAGAGCGAGGGGGATATACAGGGAAAGAACGAGAGGGAAATATAGAGAGAGTGAGAGTGAGAGAGAGAGAGAGAGAGAGAGAGAGAGAGACAGCTAGAGAGAATAAATATTAAAGAGAGAATAAAGAGAGAATAAATA